TTTTACTGTTTTCAAAACGTGTTCCCCATCAGTGAGGACTCTGATTACTGACAATTTCAAGAGCTTCCAGTAGAGTACTGCAGACAAAGAGGGAAAGGAAGAGGGTGGATTCAGCAGTGGATATTTAGATTCTGGGTACAGGGCTCTGGGTAAGAGCTCTTCCATGATTGCTATTTTCCATCAATGCTTTTATTTGAAAACAAGCTTACTCTGTATCCTCGGACTGTAAGGATCTTCTATTCTGAAAGCAGGATCTAAAGCACGAAATATCACCTAAAAATAGACAGAGGAGTAATGGGCATTTTCGCAGTGTTCAAACACTAGATCTGTAAGTAGAAGGGAAAACAGAGCAAACAAACCTCTCCTTCCGTTGAGGGTTCGATGTCAGAATATCGGGAATCACAAATGATATCGTCGACTTTCTTCATAGGGCCGGTGGAAATGCCGGGGAACGAGCTCTCACAGTCGTAGGCAAAGTATCTGTACACACCCCAGGTTTTGCCAAAGTCGGACGATCGTTCTATCAGCATGGCGGCTGGACGGAATGTCTAAAGGCAGAGTGGAAAAGACGCATTTGATGTTTTTTTTCTATCGGTAATCTGTACTTCTAAAAATCCCGGATGAAAATATCATTCGACTGTGTGCTACCAACCCCGACTGCACGTGGCTGGGATTTCACACTATGGTGGATTTCAAACCCTTCAAGCTGCTCTACGGAGCATCTGTCTTATTGTGGGGAAAATGTCCAGCGTCTAAATTTTGCACTTTCTCCCACCCTAACAGAGATCAGTAAGCTGCTTCTCTTTAGAAGCTGATTATAAACAAGCCCTCATTGCAGACAAGGTTTGGTCTATTCAGTCATCATGCCCACGGCATGACCGGTTAGTCTGAGGGCTCGTTCTTTCATTCGTTCATTTAATCATTCAGTAGACGCGTGACGACTGCTACCGAGTACCAGACAGTGGTCTACATGCTGGAACTCGTCCCATGAGGTACAGGTATGGCGAGAAATCATTTATTATACAATATGTCAAACACCATGGGAGAGTTACATGCAGTGTGCTTTGGGAAAACAAGAGAAAGGAATTACTAACTCAAGATGCTGGAGAAACCTGTAATTCCAGCCATGTGCCCCAAAGAACTGAAAAGAGGGATTCAAATGTGAACATTCATAGCAGCATTGTTCACAGCTGCCAAAAAGTGGAAACCACCCAAGGGTCCATCAACAGCTGAATGGATAAACCAAAGGTGGAACATACCTGCAATGGAGTATTATTTAGCAATAAAAAGGGATGGAATTCTGATACTTCCTACACCATGGATGAACCTGGAAAACATACTGAGTAAAATAAGCCAGACACAGAAGAATAATATATGATTCTACTATATGGAATGTCTTGAATAAGCAAGTACATAGAGACAGAAAGTAGATGAAGGGTTACTGGGGTGGGGGGACAATGACGAATTATTGCTCAACACGTAGAACTTCTATTTGGGGTGATGAGCAAGTTCTGAAAGTTGATAGTGGTGATGGTTACACACATTGTGAATATACCTACTGCCACTAGAACTGTATTTATAAATGGTTAAAAAGTCAGATTTTATGTTGTGTATACTTTAGTGCACACATACACACCCCCATAGCTAGGGAATGCTTCAGAGAGAAACAGTCTCAAATTGGGTCACGAATACATAACTGGGTGTTTTCCAGGCAGCAGTCAGAGGTGGCTGCAGGTGGCAGGGGTGTCTGGGGCAGGGCAGAAAGGAACTAGTTGCCTTGCTGAGGGGTTTACTTCATTTTTATGCAAAGAAGGGGAACACAAACATTTAAGTGAACAGAATGAAGTGATCAGACTGCACTTTAAAAAAAAAATAACTCTGGCCAAGTTCTTGGACATGGAAAAAACCAGACACAAGGAAACCAAGTGATAGGAAAAAAAAAAGAGGAAGGTCTTAACTCAAGCATCACAGTGTAGCTGGAAGAAAGGGATGAAACTGATGGCCCCGAATATTTAGTGAAAGTAAAATACATTGAATTGCACTCAATGATCAATCAGATTTCATTAGAAAGGGAGGGAGAGGAGAGAAACAGGAATCTTTGAGCTTGGGTAGCTTGTGGGGGAGTTGGAGGGGAAGGTGGTGCTGCTACTAACAGAGACGCAGGAAAAAAGTGAAGGCATTTGGTTTTGGACAAGTTGGTGCAAGGTCTCCACATGGAGACGCTCCCTGGACAACTGGAAACAGTGGTCTGGACACAGCTGCGAGAATGGGGCTTGTAACATGGATCTGGGAGTCACTGTATATGTACAATATTTGAAACCTCCAAAGATTTAATTCTACTCCTCCCTACCAAAACAAAAAAGAGAGGGGAAAGGACAAGATAAAAGAGCCCAGGTCGGTGGTCCAGGAAAATGCATCAGCCAAGGGCTAGATGAAGGCAAGAGAGCAGCGCCGGGAACTTTAACCACGGGGTTTCATGTCACCTTCCGTTCCGGGCTGAGCTGTGTCCTCCCCACGTCCCCACCAGTACCTAGAGTAAAACTGGATTTGGAGACAGGGTCTTTGAAGGGGTAACTAAAGTAAAATGAGGTTGTTAGAGTGGGCCCTAATTCCATGTGACTGGCATTCTTATAAGAAGGCATCAGGACACAGATATGCACAGACGGAAGACTGTCTGAAGACCCAGGGAGAAGACAGTCGTCTATAAGCCAAGGAAAGAAAGCAGCCACAGAAGAAACCAACTCTGCCAACAACCTGATCTCAGACTTTGCGCCTCCAGAACCCTGAGAAAATAAATTTCTGTTGTTGAAGCCACCCAGTCTGGGGTCCTTTGCTATGGCAGCCTGAGCTCACAAATACACCTTCACAACTCATGTGTCTGACAGATGAGGAAACTGAGGCTCAGAGAGATGACTAACTTGCTAGCTCTTGGTGAAAAGATTTCAATCCAGGGAGAATGAAGACCTTTCTGCCTCGCTGGCTAACAGCATACTAGAAGCCTGAAAAATGGATGTCAGAGAGGAAGGAGGAAAAAGACAAGGATCCTGGAAATGAAGCAGGATGGAGGCTTAGGAGGATGTGGCCAGTAGGGTCCACTGGAAATAAGAGATTAAGCAGAATGAGCACTAAAACTAGGCAGATGCTTCAACAGGACAAGTGCATTTTGGGAGGTGGCAGTCAGAGTACGATGGAGAAAGATCAAGAAAGTTCAGGTGATCTAGTGGACAGAATCTGAACAAAGATACTCATTTTTGGGGAGGGATCAGTTTTTGTGTATTAAAAAAATTTTTTTAAATTGAAGTATAGTCAGTTACAATGTGTCAATTTCTGGTGTACAGCAAAATGTCCCAGTCATGCATATACATAAATTCATTTTCATTAAAGGTTATTACAAGATATTGAATATAGTTCCCTGAGCTATACAGAAGAAATTTTTTTAATATATTTTTTATATATAGTGGCTAACATTTGTAAATCTCAAACTCCCAAATGTATCCTTTCCTACTCCATTTCCCCGGTAACCATAAGACTGTTTACTGTCTGCAAGTTTGTTTGTTTTAAAAAAAAAAAAAGACACTAATGAACTCATCTATAAGATTCCACATAAGTGATATCATATGTTATTTTTCTCTCTTTCTGGCTTACTTCACCTAGAATGACCATCTCTAGGTCCATCCATGTTGCTGCAAATGACATTATTTGATTCTTTTTAATGGCTGAGTAGTATTCCATTGTATGTATTTACCACAACTTCTTTATCCAGTCATCTGTTGATAGACATTTAGGTTGTTTCCATGTCTTGGTTAGTGTATACAGTGCTGCTATGAACACTGGGGTGCATGAAAGATACTCACTTCTGAATGAAAACCCATGCATGACAGAAACCTGGGTGATGACTAATGGTGACAACCAGGACCTGCCCAGACCTCCCTGTGCTTTCCTTAATCATCCCAATGGTTTTTCTCACTGATCAAAGGAGAACAAGGGAAGGAAATGGAAGGCTACATTCTGACAGATTCTTTAAATGATAGATTTACTCATTGCTCAAGTTTTATTTTGTGACCTATTCAGGAACATGAGAAAATGACACTTTATTCATCCCAAGAGAGTATCAGACTAAGAATTTTAAAGGAGGGGAGGGAAAAGCCCAATAATTAACTGAACCAGGGTCAGCTCCCCAAGGGACCCGCGTCCTGGGTGGCGACACTTGGAGAGAGACAAGCCTGATGTCTCTGTGTCGCAATGGAGCAGAGAGGAAAAGCCCTACAGCCCGTCTGGGCTGTGTTTCCTTCTCCCTCCCTTCTGGAACCTTCTGAGTCCCAAAGGGCCATTGAGCAGTTATCCAATTTCCTGTGTAGCTAAGAAGCTGCTGGAAACCAGGACAACACATTTGACCTACAGAGCGGATGCCTTTCCAACGCTCTTTGCTGACTCGTCAAATCTTGGCGTCACATGGCTGCAGAGCTGCCTCTGAATTTATCCTAAATAAAAGAGATACGAGTTTGGAAACATCTGGCTATGTTCAAAAAACATACTGTGAGTATGCTAAATGGGTTTTGCCAGCCTAAGAAAACCCAGTCCACTTAGCCACCAGCCTATCTCCACATAGACATGGGGAAGGACAAATGCACTCTTCATCCTTGTCCCCTTCTTGCCCTCGCCACCGTTCGTGGTATCACCACCTTCCTAGTTCCGCAGCTGGGGTATCTCAGTAGTCTTTGATTCATCCCCCTCCTGACCCTGTCTTCCACCGTTCTGCTTCTAATCTTTCTCCAATTCATAGCTGAACCTTTGTTTCTAAAGGGTTGGACTGACTCCCTTAGAAAACAGGGGCTCCTCCTTTTGGAAAAGGTCCCTAAGGCAGGCTTAGCAGAGAGTTTCAGAGGCTGGCAGCAAGGGGAGACGTGGGCTTTGAAAAAGTTCTCCAAGTCAGACTGCCAGGCTATGGGCTGCAGGAGGCAGCCCCCTCCTCCTTGAGCAGCACAGCCAGCCTGTGCGTGAACACCAGCCCTTCCCAAGTCAGCGCTGCCTTAATGCTGACCACCCACCGCTCCGTCCTCTCTCCTCCATCCCCAGGCCCATCTATCTCCTCTTGGCTCCCTTCCTGAAACACCGGTCTCATTTCCTCACAGATGGCTCCCTGTTTCCCATCAAGTTCACACTCCTCAGCAAGGATGCAAGGTCCTTACCATCCAACTTCCCTTTCCTTCCCTAAGTACCCCAAGCTCCGGGCAGGTCTACATAGCAATGTGAACAAACCCTGCCCAGACCATCCCACCACTGGTACTTTGCTCTCAAACTGTTTCCTCTGCCAAAAATGGCTTTTTTTCTACCTCCTTCCCTTAAAATCCTGCTCACTTTCCCCGACTCAGGTCAACTGCAATCCAGCCCTCTCCTCATAAAGCTTTGTCCTTTATCCCAGGCTAAAATTCATCTCCCCTCCTCCATGCTGATGGACATAGTCTGAACTCCTGCTTTACCAGTTAGCCATCCTGTCTTGGGTCATAAGTTATTTCCAAGCCTAGGTCTCTCCCCTCTAGGGAGACTGGAAGCTTTCTGACAGCGGAGAGCAGTCACAAGCTATCTTTAAAATCTAAGGCAGTTTCTTACAAACAGAAGATGGCTGAATTCATTTAGCCACTTATTCATTCAGTAAATATTTGCAGAGCAATTATGACATGCCAAGCATCAACATTTATAAAAGCGATCACGTTCCCACCCTCTGCCAGGGCAGTAAGATCACCCCTCCATCCCTCCCCCCAGAGCAGAGGGGTGTGTCGCACAACCTGCAGTGTAAGTGGTCTCTTCTCATTTTACTGAGGAGGAAGTCAAAGCTCTGGCCCCGCACGCCAGCAAGGGGCAGAATAGGGATTCACACCCAGGTCTGTGCAACCCCATACACAGATGTTGCTGTTCACCCATGAGCTAGAACCCAAAGGCTGAGTTCTCTCCCACAAAGTCTGACCACTCGTAGCCAGTCCTCACATCTCAGTTTAATCACCGCCTCCTCGGACTTCCTGCACGTCTGTGCAGATTGTCATCTTTGGCCCAGGGTATTCACTGGAATGAGTATTCAGCTACAGAATACGTGTCCACATGACTTGTGGATGTCAACGGACTCAGAACTACCCATGGATGCAAACAGATGCCTTGCCAAAGCAAAAGGTAGGGCTGTCAACATTAATAAAGATGCCTTTGAGTATTTGCAGGTGATGCATCACGTGAAGGCAACATCCCAGGCTGAGTTCCAATTACAACCGCCAGACTGAGTGCATGGCCCACGAAGGAACAAGGAGGCGTTTCGTGAATGCCCTCCCTACCCTCTCAGTAGCAGCTGTCACAGGTAAACCTTCCCCCGGGCCACTCCCACACCACCAGGCCCCCAGCAGCAACAGCAGCTTCCTGGGGAGGAAGCAAGAGGATGAAGAGCTCAGGCCTGGGAACCAGCAGCCCAGCATCCTTCCCAGTCACGTGACTCCCACGCCCAGCGCCGCCCCTTGGCCTCGCGGGCTGCGGCAGAGGACACCAGCGAGACTGTCACGGCTACTTGCCCACATGGTAAACCTACCCGGCACCTTTCCCCAACCTGAGAGGGTACAGATAAGGCCCCCAACTCCAATGGAAAACTATTCAGAAGTGATTTTAATCTGAGACGCAATAGGTAAATTATGGGTTTTCTGTGCAGCGACGTGTACTTTAAGCCCTGTGAAGTCTGTCATTTCCAGGCAGCTGCTTAAGAAGAAACAAAGGGACTTTGTACAGAGACATTCCCTAGTCCGGGAGTCATTTTACATCTCGAGAAGAAAAAGGATGGGAAAACTCCACATTTAAGGAGGCAGGCACATTTCTTAAGGAACCGTAAAAAGTTTCCCACAAATTTTGCAAAACCTTGAAAACTAATGATAACACACTTCCTCGTCAGTCACCAAATTCAGCAGTAACACATCCACACAAGGGGCCGGGGACTTACTCGCCAGATGTTTTATTGTGGTTTGGGAGCGAGTCAAAGCTGCCTCTCTCCGTGGGGAAATGAAAAATTTCTAATGAAAAGTTTACAGTCGAATCACCTTAAAACAGTGGCTCTCTCTACTTATTGCCATGGAGATATAGAGTGTTAAGCAGACTTAATCACGCCTATGATTAAAAACTGCTCAAATATCCCAATTTATAGCAACAATCATGTTTAAGTTCCCATTTAGGCGAACTCACAAAAGTCGTCCATTCTGAAAGGGGAATGACCCAGTGTTCTCAACTGTGAGACAGTTATGGGTTCCTTACCTTGAAGGTCATGATGAGATGAGTGAAATGGAATTCGGCTTCCAAATCCAGTTGGATTGTTACATTTTCCACGCCTATAGGAGATTTAAAAAAAAAAGACAAAAGTAAACAGTCAAGAGGAACATCTGTGAACAATTGAGACCATTTTCTTAAACTATCTTTTATGCTCCTCATAGAAATTCTCTCTGAGGTCTATCTTAAGCTGGAGCTGAAGATAACATAACAATAAACCCCCGACTTGATTGAGGGGATAACGCGCATAGCAAAATCAACGGTCCACAAATCATTCTGGAGTTCAACGTATTGAATCTGCTCCCTGGAACAAGACATTTGGCAGAAAATCTTTCGTTGCTGTTCAGAAAGACATCTTTTGCTTAGGAAAAAAGTGAAGTGTTCCCAACCCTCTAAGCTGAGGGACTCTCAAAGGGGAAACAAGAGGGGGCGCTTCCTGTGCACAGTAGGGGTTCAGCTTGGAGTCTGAGGCACAGGGATGTGGTCCTTTGCCAGTAGAAACACAAATACTCCTTTTTTTCTATGCAGCCAAGAAAACAAATCAGAGTCCACCACCTCTGTTAATTACACTCCAATTTAGAAAAACTGATCCCTGTTGGAGAAACCTTTGGATGCATTTCCACAATCAAGAAGTAATGCCAAAGAGACAAAGAATGGGTCAAGTAAACAAACCGGCCCAGAACAAATGCTAACATCTTCCCTTTCAGGGGAAAGCCTGAACAAACAGATGGGCCTCTGCACTATGCCCTGGGGGTCGATCGTCCCACGTTAACAGGCTAAAAAGGCCACTGGAATTCCAGAGGCGGAAAGCTTACCTCCTTCCCGATCCCCGGGGCCCTCGAGTCTGCCTGTTTGGTAAAGGAGACCCTTCCCTGTTTCCAGTGCTTGAGAGAGCTTTTGGGGTCCACCTCCCGGAGCCTAAGAAGTCTTACATGCAGGAAGACAGGAATGTGTCAGGATGAATCATGTCACAGGCTGGTGTACTTTCAGGAAATCAGTAGGACTTTTGAAATAAACTCTCCCACTGGAAAACTGCCAGGTCAATTGGGGGTGGGGTGGGGGGTGGGGGAAGGCGGTCAGTGGAACGGATATGAGCTGGTTGGAATGCTAAAGCCAAACACTATAATCATACTGACCAGTCTTATCTGACTTGTTATAAAGGACCATATTACCAGCCCATGCTGGACTGTTCTGAGTGAAAAGTTACCTAAGCAACTATATGTCTCTCTTTTCCCAGGCTTTTAAAAACCTGCCCTGTTTGTTTAAAATAAAGAGATAACGAAATAATGTAAAGCATGAGCAAGCCTAGGACCAGTTCTGTAACGTAAGAATGTATGTGGCCATGTGGACTTTAAAACACATTCCATTTTAGATTTCTGACCTGAGAAAGCAACACTGTTTGTTTGTTTTAAATACGGAAAGAAAAATCCACGGAGAAAAGAAAGACGATTCTTCTACAGTGTATTTGATTTGTCAGACCGAGGAAGAGCGTTATGAAGGGCAAGTTAACGTAGCTGCATATCTCAAGCCCATTTCTGTGCCTCAACACTGACAATTTAACATCATTGTGCTCAGCTCAACTTGGACAGAACACACAGAAAATAGCCAAAAAACCACTTTCATAAAGTCTTCAATTGTGAACTATCAGACGACAGAGAGATGACAGGGCACAGTAACAATGGCTCTGGCTTTCCAGAGACTAAGTTCCATCAGTCTAATCTCATCTAATCTCTTGTGACACAGTGACAGAGCACTCATGCCCCTCCATCTGAAAGTCCCTTCTTTCTGGCATTTGGACTCTCTTGCCCCCACAAATTCAAAGTTATAGAAACTGACTGACTCTTTGTGTAACAAGACAAAACCCACCTCTAGAACTCTAGCACATGATAAACTGGTTTACTGTCTATCAGCTCCTTCCTTCTTGGAATTGTCTTTCTGTCCCACTAGAAGGACGTGGACACTAACTCTCAGTGTCCACTCCATGCTCCTTCAGAAGTCCTCTGTGATTCAAGAGCAGGTTTACAGAACCTTCTCTTTGATACTGAACTATCAACCAAGAAGCCCTCCTAGGAGAAATAACAAGGCTGTAATGGATACGCACCCTCTGAAGCCCAGACTACCTCAATCAAGTTGATTGCCAGTGGAGTCCCAAGGCCAATGAATAATCAACACTCTCCAGAAACCAGCAGTCTTTTAGGAACCATGTGTGACTTCATAACTGATGACAAAAGTATCTATTAAGGGAGTTCCTTGCTACAGAACAAGTGACCACAAGCATCCAAAAGCTTCCTGGGTGGAGGGCTTATAATAAAAGGGTCCAGTAGTGCCCACGCTTTCTCTGGCCAGGCTAAGCCTTACTTCTGAGAACCTTTCCTCATAAATGCTTTTTAAAAAAGACCTTACGGTACATTGTTAGCTAACAAGCACAATAACTCTACCTTTAGTCTCCAAATTTCAGCATCCAAGTTTGGAACAAATGCAGAACGAATCTGGCCTTAGTTTCACCACAGTAGCAACATCCTGTTTGATGAACTTATGAAACCAAAACCCAAAAGGCAAAGAAAGGAAAAAGGGTTGGATTCACCCACTCACTGGGAAAATCGACTTGGGGTCATTATTCGTCATGACAGAGTCTAAAGAATTACATCGAATGTGTATTCATAGTACGATTATTAAATGTTCTCCAGATGGAAGGAAGGTGGGAGTGGTGGTGGGCGCTGATTCTGCCCTTTCCTTTGGGGTTGATCAAAATGAAAGATGCTATGCTTCGTGGAAGAAGAGCTTGAGATAGGGCTTTCCCACGCCCTCCCCAGACAGCCCCCAGCACATGCCCGCGCTCCCCAAAGCCCCCCTCAGGATGAAGACTACGAAATACTCCTTTGGTCGAGCATGAAAAACTGCTTTCTTACAGGAAGTGCATGCTTTGGGAAGAAGGATCAGATTTTAACAAGAGAAGTCAGTGCTTCGGGCAGTAAATCTGTCAAAGACCATAATTCCAGGATAGAGAAACCAATCGTAATTACAAACACCCAAGAACCCTCCTTCCAAGTGACCAGTCACTCCACGGAACTTGTTCCCACACCAACTACGTACCGTTTTCCGATTGCCACCAAATCTTAAGGCGGTTTGGAGCAAATGTTGTGACCACATTTTCAATGAGATGGCTGTCAGGATTGAGGGTTTCATGGTAAGGGTCTTGTGAATTGCATATGAAGCATTTTTTGTCCTCCTGAAAGCAAAGTTACTCTCATGAGTCTAGGAAGTAATCATATACACACCAAAAATCAAGCTCCCAAAACAAAAATCAAACTTACTTGCTTCAAGAAAAATGAATGTGCCAAAATTACTTAAATGACATAATCTATGCCTTTCACTTTTTAACTTACTGAGTATGAAATACTCCTGAAAATTTCCTCTGCTCTTGCAAATTCAAGGTCGAAGTGAAAGAAGGCATTGTTTCCACAAGCTATTAATTTAATCAAAATAAAACTTCTAGGCTTAAGCCTTAATCTCAATGAGCTGCTAGAGAAGCTTTCTCTTAAAGTAAAATGCAGAGGAGGTGTTAGAGAATTTCTGCTGACATAAAGCAAACTGAAAATGAAAGGAAAAAACCAACAATTCAATTGGCCTTATTTTCTAAAACCTATAGAAGGCAGAAACCAAGTATTAGGCAGAAGTATTTAAGAAGCTTTGGCTCTACAATGGAATTTGACACAACATTGTAAAATGACTATAACTCAATAAAAAAATGTAAAAAAAAAAAAAAAGCTTTGGGAACCACAGAGCAAGATTTCTTAGCGTCTACTCTGCCCAAGCAGTGAGTCAGCGTGGAGGCGAGCAGGCTGTCCTACAGACTGCTCAGAATTTCAGGAAGGGGACACCAGGCTGTCCTGTGGTGCTGGGAGCTCTGTGAACTGGGACCAGTTCAAAGAATGCCCAACTGGATCTGAACTGGAATTAAGATACACACTTCAGGTTTTAGAGTAGCTTTGAATTTCTCTCTTCTCATTTTCATTCGCCCTAAAATGGGGGTCCCAGCACCCTGGCAGTTGACCAGGAAAGTTAAAAGAGCCCTCCTTGCACTCCATCGCGGTGAATCTTAAACAGCATCACTTAGCAGTCCCCTTTTCTACACGAAGCTTTGCTCTCTACCTACATTTTCTGAAACACATATTATTCTCAAGTATGAAAGTGACACTGAGACTGAATCTACAGAAACTCACATACATCTTGCAAACAACATTTATGCAAGAATGCTATCCTTAGAAGGGTAGTGTCAACTTACTGTACTTTTACATCTGTATTTACTTAGCTAGCTACAAGTTATCACCTTCCTCCCCAAAGGATTTAGAGACTAGCAAGATGTACTAACTAGAAACAGAGGCCAGAAGTCAGGGATGCAATGGGGTGCTGGACAAAACACTTACACATCCTGCCTCAGTTTTCACACCTGTTAAATCTTTGTGAGAGGTACCTGCCCAGCCCTTTCTGAGGCTCTGATATCTGTGAAGAGCGCTCCACCATGTCAAGGTTCATTATATAAACCAGAGACTGGCTCTACTTGCTTTTAAGATACATAGTCCAATTCTCATTCTGGTCAAAGCTGGTTTCAGGATCTGGCGATACATTCACAGGATGTTCTGGCCTCTGAGGTAAATGTTAGTGTAGTGTAACATTTTAGGTAAAATTTAAACACTAATATTAGAAAAGGTAACAAACTGCCTTCATTAACTGGTAGTCAAGGAAACTACGACTGGAGAACAATTACCAGAACTTAAAAAAAGTTTAATTATAGCTTTGCTTCTAATCAGGAGGAAGCAGTCTAGACATCTCTGTGTAAACCTGGAAGCAAATGAGTGGAATCCACTTTACCGCATTCCTTTGGTTTAATTTATCGGGTCTCCAGAATGGGCTCTTTCTGCTCAATAAAAGTGACTCAATTTTAAGGCTTCTGGGTGCAAACCACACAACATTCTGTCCCACTCCTAAAGGGCAGATACACAGGTGGGTGCAGGGACCAAAGTCAGAGCAAATGTCTTGAAACTTACTATGCACGGGAGCCTCATCCCTTAGGCTTGCTTCAGAGGCCAGAAGTATCAGTTTCCTTTTTTAAAAATCAAGGAAAGAGATTCTGATTCTGGGTAGTTCGTGCTTTGTGTCTTTTAAAATTAGTTTTATTAAAAACGGGACCTTCAAAATCTAAGACCTGGGTCTACCTGCAGAAACGGAACACTCTGAAATTTCATTTTGGTCCTCTGCTATCGGGGTACCATGGCAACCAGGGCACTTTGAAGAAGAGAGCATTTGATCCTGGTATCTAATGGAGGTAGATGGGAACGGCACCAAATGAGAGAAAAGCAGGATCAGTAACTGCAGTGATCTTGCAAGGCGTCAGTGCTGGAACATCCTTTATCCAAGGAAAGATGGGGAAAAACCCAAGATTGCTACTCAGTATATAAAGAAGAAGAGTATAAACCACCTTTTATACACATTTCCAAAGAGAAAAGATTAAACAAAACAAAACAAGACACGGGACTTTTGGAAGCCCTGGGTCAGGGCACCCGGCAGAGGCCAGGTCTGTCTGCAGCCCTGCCTTTCAATTCTGACCGTGTCGGCGGCGGTGGCGGCAGGAAATGTTCGGCGGATGCAACTGTGCAAACTGAGATGGGGCAAAAGAGTGAACTACCAGCTTAATCCCGGGACTCCCTGGCTGCCGCGCTTCCTATCTGGAGAGCAGGCAGGATGCGGGGTCCCCTGGGCCTTCCCCTTAAGTCTGGACTGGAGGAGGCGCACGCAGAGCCTGGAGACTTCTCTCCGCCCTCACCTGGAGGTGGCTGACGATACAGTAGGGCTCCGGCTTGTGCAGCCCGCATGTCGAGGTCACTGAGAGCTTCTGTGCTCGGCCGATGAGAAGGTCGCCTGTGGCCGGATAGCAGCTGCCCTCCGCGCAACCGTAGCTGAACTCGGGTTCTTGGGCGCTCACTCGGGCTCCGCACAGGGCTGTGGAAGGGGCATGCAACCGGGTAGGGAACAAGTAGGGAGCGGGCCCCAACAAAAGGAATAAGCAGGAGCCAGGGCAGATTCGATTTAGAAAAAAAGCACAATACACAGAAGAGACACAACGGAGACATGAGCGAGGCAAGGACGTGGAGAGGAGGATTCAGAAAGCAACACAGATACATCAGGTTTGTCCAACAGCCGACAGCATCACTCCAGGGAAAACCACCCACACTTGCGCCCACCTTTATCTGCCCTGAGAAGCAGCTCCAGCCACCAAAGTCACCAAAGGTGGCTCTGCAGACCAGTCACTTAGATTTGCCTGGAACTGGGCACAGGGAGGGAGGCAGGTAGCTAAAAGCCGCACACACGCTCGTGTGTATGTCTGTGAACCCGCGTGCACGCAGCAGCCTGTGCATTCTCAGTGTGACAGTGCGAGTGTGTGCGCGGAAATCTGTGAACCTGGGGGCGCACTAATGTGTGTGCGCATGCACGCCTGGAGGTCGCAGGCGCTTTGCGGGGGAGAGGTAGGGAATAGTGGGGTTCGCGGAAGACGCCACTTTCCCGAGCGAGGGGCGAGTGGACAGTCCCTGCGGCTTTGGACTGGCTTCAACGATTCGTCATTCCAGGGAAGCTCCCGGTCCAGCTGTTTCTGGCGCCATCCGGGGGCAAACAGTGATGGTTAATTAAAGCCACATGGTTCCAATCTGTTCCCAGGACGAAGCCTTCGCTCAGCTTAGGCATTTTCCTGGGAAATAGGCTGCCAGAGAGCCCTCCACGGCGGAGGGCGAGCCGTCACCCCATGAAACCTGACCCCCCGCAATGGAGAGATCCGCCGAGAACAGGAGGCCGAAGGTGCAGAGCCCCGGGCGGCGGCTGCGGGAGCACCCGGAGCTCTGGGCACAGCCCCCCGGGATGTGGTCCACGGCGATCCTCGCGCGCAGTCTTCGGCCACGACCGAGGGCGCTGGCGATTAATCCCAGTGCAGAATTTCCACCAGGTCCCCCTCCCCATCCCCCAGGCTCCCTCGAATCTGAGTCCGACGCCTCGGGTTTTCTTCCCCCTCGCCCAGTCCCACCCCCTTCAGGGCACTGTTTCCCCGAAATTACCTAAGAAACTGAACGCGAACACCTGGAGCCGCCCCATGTCCGTCCCCGTAGCTGAGACACGGCAGAGGAGAGGAGGGCACAGCCACCGAGCCCCCGGCTCTTTTTCCCCCGTCTTCCTTTCTGGAGAGGTGGAGAGAAAAAAGGCAAATGTTCAGAGAGGAAAGGGGCCCTCGCATTTCCTGCCGCTCCCACGGAAGCGGCGGGTGGGAGAGTGGGGAGGGAAAAATCGCGCCGCCACTTTGTTCTGCTCACCCGGCGGGGCGAGCGCTCTCCCGGCGCCTGGCAGCCCCCGAGCCCAAAGAAGGGAATTAGAAAGTTTCGCCCTGGGAGGAACCGAGGGAGGCGCCTCTGCTCATGCGCACACGGGCAGCCGGGCGGAGGGGGCGGGCAGCGGGCGGCCCCAACTTGGCGGGGTGGGGGTGAGGTCCAGGTCCCACCTCCCCCCTGCAGCCTCTTTTGTTTTAAGGCCGCCTCTGCGGACGCGGCGGGGTAGTGGCCCTTCCCGTTCCCAGCGCTGGGCTGCGTGCGGGGTCGCCGCCGGGCGCGCGTTCCGGGCGATGCGCGGGGGGCGGGAAACGTTGGGGCTGGTCTCGGAGGTAGGTGTTCAGGTCTCCGGGCGAGGGGGCTGGTCCAGACCTCCCGCGAGCTCGTGCATTTACATTTGTAAAGAGTGAGTCACTAAAAGGTGCCCAAGGCTGCAAACTCCCGCACGGAGCTCACGGGGAAGACGGGTTAACCCTTTAGAAAGAGGGTTGACCTGTCAGGTTTGTTCCCAAGAAGCCAAGCCCCCGGTATTGCTGAGCCCCGGCTGGGCGCGGCACCTGTGACGCCTTCATTCGGAGGAAGCGAAGTGTTCTTCCCGACGTTGCCTTTGTGCACCAACTCGGGACCTGCCTAGAGTCCCTGCCCACAGGTGGCTAGGGCATCACTGTGTTCCCGTCTGTTTTTAAAGCCTGCATTTCCCCCCATATCCAGGCAATGGCTCGAATTCAGGTAATTTCTCGAAAGACACTATTGTTAGTGACACCTTTCCCTTCTCACCTTAAAAGAGTTGTCTCAGCCACGAAGCTGGAGGTCTCTGGTGAGGCTCACATCCACATCATCTCCACAAAGCACAACCCTGCAAATTCTAGACAGGAACTCGCGGTGCACAGTGAGGTGGGCCAGAGAGCCTCTAGCAACGGGTCTCCAGCAGCACTGTGGGTGACCTGTCTGGTTAAATAAGGGGTTAATTTATGCTCACCCAGCTCCTGAGGGTTGGAGAGGGCAGAGGCTGGTGGTGGGTCTCTATCAACTTTTCTGTGAACTAGCCCAATTCTGTTGCCTTAGCAGTGGGTGGACTCAAAGCTTCATCTTTTAGTTCTCCCAGCAAAACTGCCCTTACCCACCACCCCCACTCCCCCACGAGAGAGTAGAGTTAGTTGTTCCTCCAGTCAGGAGGTTTTGTTTTGTAATTAATCACCCAGGGAGAAGGGTTTAAGTGTCCAGTTGGTCAGCTTTTAACTTAGCTGCAATGAAATAGGGCCCAGGGAAGTTTAATCATTAGACCATAGAGTAAGCTGCTTTTTGAGTTTATCTACATCTTTTCCACTGAGGGAGGCAGGGGCCTCAGGTCTTGGTGAGACATTAATTATTCACCAAACCTGCACAGACTCGGAGACTTGGGGTGCTTGGGGCAGGCGGGGCAACCCTAAGAAAGGAGGGTGCTGCTGCGAGAGTCCAATGCTGTGATAGAGAATCTTCAGAACTTACTTGCAAACAAATATTCACAGGCCACCATCTTGCCCGTTTGTGGAACTTTTGATACCCTGGTCCAAAGTTGCTTGTTAACACTTTTTCAGCCACACAGATCTCAAGCATCGTTCAGCTCTGCCTCTTTTGGAGACTGGCCTCTGTTCTCACAGCAGCTGAGGCCTTCCTGCTATTTGGCAGTTGGATCTGTCTCTGGTCAGTCTCCTTTCTAAAAGGGCAAGGCCTTACCTTCAATAAATCTTTTAAAGCCCTGCTGCTCTGCTGACCTCTTCAGTCTCAGTAACGGCACCACCATTGAGAAAATTAGCCATTTTGGTTTTGCCCATATATGTGCAGAGGAGGAGTCTGTTTAACACTCACCTTCTACCACTCCATCTAAGGATTTGTCTGTCTCCATGCCACCTTTATCTTTTGTACTCCTGTCCTGGAAGACAACCCCTTCTCTTACCTCCTGAGAACAATGCTCTCACACACATACCTGCTCAATTCTCCCATCTTAAGGGGGGGAAAAAAGCTTTATTCTGCACACTCTCTATTCCTTTCCTCCCTTTGACTTCATCGCCCAAGTTCTTGAAAGGATAGTCTGCACTGACTATTGCCTCCTGGTTTCTCCTCCATCTCCACCACTGGTCTCAGTCATGACCACTGACCCTCCAACTGCCAAATGCAATAGACGTACTCCCTATTTGATCACTTTGTGGCATGGATTTCACATGATTACTCTCTTTTTGAGACTCTTCCTTGACTTCCAGGATACAATTCCCCCTAAAATTTTCCAACCAGACTGACTCCCCCTCTCCTGTTTCTCTTTCCGTCCTCTGATCTCTTACACATCGGCACTCCCGAAGGCTCTGTCTCCAGCTTCTTTTCCCTCTACACACTTCCATCCACATCCAAGGGCTCCACCACCTTGGCCTTGGTACTCCCCACATCTATAACGCTAGCAAGTACCTTGCTTGGCATTTACATCCAACTTCTACCAGCCTGTTGAGGATCACTATTTTGATGTCCCATAGGAACATGTGCTACAAAACCGAACTCACCTCCTGTTTCCAATTGCAGTTATTGGTACCCCGATCTATCCCTTAGCTCAACACAGAAACTTGGGAACAGGACTGACCATGTGATTCGCAGGGCCCAATACAAAATGAAAACGAGCATGTGGGTCCCCTTGTTTAAAAATGATCAGTGATTTCAAGATGGTGCCAGTAGAGCATTGAACCAAGCCTGGGACCCTTCTGAGTGGGAGGCCCTGGGAGGCAGCACGAATCCAATCCCACACCCTTGAAGCCAGCCCAGCCTGGGAATCATGATGGATAGTTCTCTCTCCTTCGCCTCCTCCCCATCCCCAGGTCCTGTCCTTTCTACTTACTAGCAACTAGCTGTCATGTCCCCATCACTCCAACCTCATTGCCCTTAGTTCAATCTCTCCTCATGTCTGGTCTGAAAGCCCGCAGGAGCCTCCAGGCTGGTGAACCTATTTCCAAACCCTTCCTTTCTCCAGTCTAACCCTCCAGCACATTGCCAGAAGGATTTTTCAGAGGCACAGCTTTGATTACATGACTCTTTTGTTCAAAAGGCTTCAGTGGTTTCCCTCTGCCCACGTTAAATCTCCTGAAGTCCCCTACACATAACAGACTTTTTCTACTTTCCTTTTCTTTCTGCTACGTGGCCCCTCCTTGACCTCATCAACTTAGTGAGCTACCATGCATCTTTGAAGCCTCCACTGAAAAAATACGTCTCCTCCTTCTCCACCCCTGACTCTGTCCACCAGCACCTTGTAAAAGCCTGTCACAGCATCAGTGACCTAATGCTCTAACTATTTGTTTGTGCCCTTATCTCCCCAACAGACAGTGAGACAGGGACCAGCGTTGTGTAGCATTCCTTTGTGTATAAACACTGTCTAATGTGACATGGGGCACATCTTAGGTGCTCAAGAAATGTTTCTTGAATGAAAATTAATGAAGACTATTCTCCGTGCTTTGAAAAGTGTCTTCAATCTTAAATGTCAACTTTCACCTAACAAATCTCCGGTCAAAGACAGAAGACTATCACCACCAGACTTGCGTTCATGTTAGGGATCCTTGCAAATTTCACTCATGAACAGATTTTTCCTCACTGTTCTATTTCACTTCCTCTGACGTCTGAAGATGTTACCAGTTTAGGAGGAACGACTCACTTTTCTTAGGGAAGCTGGTTCACTCTTCACTCCTGCTGAGAGGAGCCTCCCATCCCCCACTGGTACTTACCAGGCGCCACCTCCTTCAGCGTAAGGCAGTCTTCCCTGGAGAGTCCTACAGCGTTCTGAGCAGCAGATGGCTGCAAATTGTTGGCTGTATCTTCTCAAAGAGTGTGTGACAATCATCTCCCCGAGGCATTGTTTTTTGCTTGGAAAAAAACAAAAACAAAACCAAGAACTGCTCTCAAGATCACCTGTGTGTCTCATTTTAAATCCTGGGCTGACAGTGAAACAAGGAAGTCACATTTTAGACTTTGATCGTTAGGTCCTAAAACCTGGCTGTTTACGTTAACATTGTTCTCCTGAAAAATACTAAGTTTTGAAAATTAGATTTCAGTGTGCTTTGTGACATTTGGTATTCATCTAGAAAAGTTCAATGACCAGTAAACTTCAGGACAAATGTCACAGTACTTTTTAAATGTTTGAGTATGTAGGACAGTAATTCGTAGTTTTCTGTTAAATGTCCTTGCCTCTCAGAAGCTCTTTCAGGGCAAGGACTGTATTTTAGTGAAATTTGTATTCCCATAAGGTGGCAGAGTTTCTGGGGTATTGTATATACTCAGTATCTACTTGTTGCATTAATAATATAATTGAATAAACTTCATTCATAACCATTAAGAGAGCACAGAGGGTCCTTACTGTCACCAGTCATATAACATGAAACCATCAGGGCCTGAGTCCAACATTCTCAGTCTCAGACCACACAACAGAAACTGCTGTGCGGGCTTGCACTAATGTCCCTCCACCTAGATTTGAGGTGACCAGTCCTTTCGCACAGTCAGCCTCCCTTACTGGATGGGGCTCATCCCTCTACGGGCTCCAGGCTGATCAGTGCCTTTCCATCTCCTTCTTCCCAGTAATTGGTTCAGGGATGAGTATGCAACTCAAATTTTCCAGTTAGGGTGACTTCTGGAATTTTTGAGGACATCATGGGGATTTTCCCAGGAGAGAAGAAACCCTCCTTCTCCCTGGACTTAGAATTATGTGGATGTCAGCCTGGAGCTGGTAGAGGCTGCTGGAGACTGGGGCCAACATAGAGGAAAGCAGAACTAAGGGAAGCAATAGGGCAAATCCTTCAAGACTCCCTTGATCCAGCTATGCCTGAAGGCAGCAGGTACTGCCTTCGCCAATACATTTTCTGGCTATGTAGTTGAAGAGAGTTATAAACCTTTGTTGTTTTTAGCCTGAGATCTGGGAGGTTTTTCTTTTTGTTTTAACTGCAAATAACTAGTTTATCCTGATTGGTTCAGGCAGGTCTTTATCAATACTGTCTTAAAAATAGTAAAATCTGTCTGTTCTTAAATATCTCAAAAGAAATGTCAGAAGTGAGAGAATCCCCAAGTTTGAGTGTGCTAAGGTAGTCACTAAAATAGGGGTAAGAAGGCCTCACAGGCTCTTTACAGGTTTTCTGCAAGGCTGCACACCCACTGCACTTCATCTCGCAACAGAGTAGCAAGATGATGGTTTACATCCAGTGAGAGGAGGGTAGAAACAACATGCCTCCCTATCTGTGCCCATGAATTGCAAAGTTTTTTTGTTTATATTTGTAATCCATATTTAACAGGAATGCCATAGAAACAACTCTAAATGGAGCAAGTTCTCTCAGTTCACTGTTTATTCTCTGTTTGTGGGATTTTAGCATCTGGTTGCTAACCTCATTTAAAAATGAGTAGGAGAGATTAATGGCTGAGGTGGTAAGGCTGGAGAGCCTCAGGAAAGCTTTTAAATTTTTTTTAAAATCAGATTCACAGTAGGATTAACTTAAATGTAGTCAATTAAACATCATAAGACTTGAAAATTATTCATGAGCCAAAGTTTCATTTTTCTGGTATATTTCTACCTTTACCTTAATTCACAACTGCTCTACCTAAAGACGGGCAGTAAGAACTTAAAAAACCCAAGTACTTACCAATTCACTGAGAAGATTTAAGGCCTTCCAAAGTAAAGGTTTTGGCTTGTTTCTCTGGTCAGCTTCTGTCACCTATAATATTTATATTCAAACATTTTTATTTGTGTACTTGGAAGTTTTAAGAAATGACTATTTACTACAGAAATATTTAAGATATTTTGTATCAGATACTTGGACAAAACACATTAGCATCTAAAATGTGATATGTATTGACTGCTTTTTAAAAAAAATGTGTCAAAAAATCAGCACAGGGAACTATATTCAATACCTTTTAATGGCCTATGATGAAAGCAAGTATGAAAAGGAATATATATAACACTATGCTGTACACCAGAAATTAACACTGTAAATCGACTATACTTCAATTAAAAAATAACAATAACAAATCTTTATTGAAAAATCACATATGTCAAATTGAGTAGGCAGCTAACACTTAGTGGTTGATGGTTATTAAGTTTTAGAAAAATTTTCCTTCATTAAAGTCAATTCATCGCTTTTGCTTATAGCAATCTACCTAAAATTGTATTTTAAGGATTATTTTGAAATATTTATTTCAGCTGGTGGTGTTACTTCCCTCAGCTTCTTAATGATGTTGAAATTCAGCACTTGCCAGAAGAGGAAAAAAGGAGTTCCTGTGTTCCAGTCATTTAACTTCTAAATCCTCCTTTTCTCTTTTTTAAACTCCATTCTTTCTCCATTTGAAAAGTCAAGTTTAGCTCCTTATAAGCCTCTGAAGTCCCTGCTACATCTCCCCATGGGTTTCTAGTCCCATCCCTGGCACACAGTGGGTCCTTAGGAAATGCTTGTTGAATGGAAAAGCCCTTCTTATTTAACCTTTATTTTTAAACCTAGCAAGGTTCAGAAAATATCTCTGTACCAAAGACTTGAAGTGATAAACTAATCTACTCTCTGGCTGCAAACCTATCTCATAGTTCTGGGTTGTTAATTATTACATAGGGTGATCCAGGAAATGGAATTTCATCAGCAAGTTAAATGGTCCACATTTCATGGCTAATATTCATGGGTAGGACTAGGCAAAGATCCTAATTCTCAACCCAGAATTTCTACCAAAGGAAGAGGAGCACTCTGCTCTGAGCACATTTCAGAAGTGATGGAAGTGCTAGTAAAAGCTAGCCCCACTCCCCAAGCAGCGGTCTTGCCTCATCACCCCCACCCACAACGCCCTTGGCTTTCTAGAAGCATTAACGTTCCGACTGCAGCTCCTCTAAAGGAGTAAGCCTGCTCTTCTGGAAAGAGCATTTATTTTACCGCAGCTGCTGCCAAGGCTGCTAATCAGATTTATGCAGGCCGGCCCACCCAGAGCTGAGTGGCTGCGTTTTGATCACATCAGAAACAAGTCAGCACTAGGTCTCACTCCAGGCTTGGGTGCTGCTTCACATAATGGGATGCTTGCCAAGCAGAGAAGTTATAGGATGTGTTTGCCCTTTTCCACAAGGCTAATAAATGCTATCAACCTGCAGGATGGAATGGTCTCTCAGTGACCCTGTTTGGAAATTGTGGAATATGGAGCTGACAACGGAGTCATCTACTCAGAGGACCTTTTAATCCAGTTGGTGATAATCCCCACTAATTGGCTGACCTTTGACTTTGGCAACCCCACCATCTGACTGACTATGACCTTAAGCCTTAGCAGCGACATGCATCAGTTGTTCTTTAAGATTTCTTGAGCATTTACTATGTGCCAAGCACAACTATGCACTAATGGTGTATACCCTACATTTAGAGGAGGCCAGAGTGGTCTTGGATGTAGGCACTACGAGTAAAGATCAACAAGGGTTCAACTCTAAGGTGAGGGAAGAACATTACAATTCTCTATTTCTGTAAACATATATACATGAAATGACAAGGACGAAGTTCTAGGAGACAGAGCAAATGGGTATTAGTGGGTAATACTAAGGAAATTTCAGAGAGAATTTTGGGATGTGAGTTAAAGGGAACTTCTCTGTCATTTGTAATGTCTTAATTTTTTTTTAGTAAGAAAATGTGTGTCTATAACTGGTTTAATTAAGAACGACAAAAAATCTAATCAAAAGTCTTTTTTGTTAAAAAGTCCACAAATGACTTACGCTGTAGAAAGTGTGGAGAAAAGGGAACCCTCCTACACTGTTGGTGGGAATGTAGTTTGGTGCAGCCGTTATGGAAAACAGTATGTATATTTCTTTAAAAACTGAAAATAGACTTACTTTATGATCCAGCAATCCCACTGCTGGGCGTATATCCAGAGGAAACTCTAATTAGAAAAGATACATGCACCCCAATGTTCACAGCAGCACTATTTACAATAGCCAAGACATGGAAGCAACCTAAATGTCCATGGACAGATGACTGGATAAAGAAGTTGTAGTGTATACACACACACAGCCATAATTATCATCCACAAAAAAAGGAAATAATGCCATTTTCAGCAACATGAATGGACCTAGAGATCATACTAAATGAAATAAGTCAGACAGAGAAAGACAAATATATGATCACACATATGGAATCTTTAAAAATGATAATGAACTTATTTACAAAACAGACTCAGACATAGAAAACAAACTTATGGTTACCATGGGGAAAAGGCTGGAGGGATAAACTGGGAGTTTAGGATATGCAGATACTAACTACTATATATATATAGTAGTTATATATATATGTAAAATAGACAAACAAGATCCTATGGTACAGCACAGGGAACTATATTCAATATCTTGTAATAGCCCATAGGAATATAAAAATGAACATGTATAACTGAATCACTATTCTGTACACCAGAAATTAACACAACGTTGTACACCGACTATGCTTCAATTAAAACAGTCTCTTTTGCAAGTATAAGATGTTATACTTTGAGTCAAGTATGCTATATCTGTTGATGAAGTCTGGGTTCTTCTCTTGAAATGTAAATTCAAAGACCTATAGAATTAAAATCATTTCTTGTCACTAATGGATTTACTGAATGACATTAGAGCTGTTAACAAATTGGGACCATGTCCGTCACTTCTCTGTGTGCCCATTTCCTTATCTGTGAAAGGGGTACAAAGTTCAGATGCCTAAGCACATGCGCAGGCTCCTTGTAATCTGGCCCCTATATAACCTCCTCGCTGCATTCTCAGCCCATCAGCATCCCACCCCCGCTAAACTCTAACTTCGATATGCTCACCATCCTCTACCCCCAAGCCCTGTTTTGTGGCTCATCCAGGTCCTTCTACTTGCAATGCCTTCTCCCTCTTCTCTGCCAAGCCAGGTTTTACTTGTGTTCAAAATCCACCTCTGATGCTACTTCACATGTGGAATCTTCTCAATTCCACTGCCCAGGTTCAGTACTGGGACATGAGCTTATTGCAGAAGGTCTTTCTAGATTGTTCTAGAACAGATGAGCCACGCATGAGGCCACACACGTCCTCTCTCGCACTCACTGCTATACCCCCAACGCCAGCATAGCACGGAGCACATTGTGGGTGTGCAAATGAGTATGCATGAAATAAATGGTTGGTCTATTAACATATTTTGTGTGCACTAAATTCCAAGTTCTCTGAGAGCATCCTGCCTTCCCCAGTGCTGAGCACAGACCTCCTCGGGTATTTACTGCATGCATTCCCTCAGTATGTGCCTGGCACCATGCCCAGCGGGCTTTCTGGGGAGAAATCATTCACAGGTAGTTCTTTAGCCAGAATGAGTCATACTCAACACCCATTAGTACTTTAAAAGAGCACATAGTACATTTAATTTTATTCCATTGGAAAAACAAAAAAGCGAGCAGTTTGCTGTGATTTGGACAGAAGTGTTAATAAATTTACAGTATTAACTCAACATAAATAAACTTGCTCTGTCCCGTAATGTGGAGAGTGTAAACCTGCATGAGGATTACTGAGCAGTGACTGAATTTGTTTTTTTAAATGGAAGTGCTGGGGATTGAACCCAGGACCTTGTGCATGCTGAGCATGCGCTCTGCCACTGAGCTATTACTGTCCCCTCCATGATTAGCTTTTTAACCATTTCCTTTGCTCCTATGTTCTAATCAAAATATGGTAAGCTGCTGTTCTGTTGAAAACCGATTTTTTTTCCTTAGAGGAATGTGTTTATGTAAATGTTTAAATCTTTAAAATTGTCTATGTATTAATATGCCTCCCAGAGTAGGTTGTAAGAAGATTTCAGTTGAGAAAATTTAGTATATACACATTTTTCTCCATCTGCTGTATATCATGTAGATGGTGGTCTGAAGGGTTGAACAGAACTGGGATTTTAAAAAGAAAAAACACATCTGAGGGGAGGGTATAGCTCAGTGGTAGAGCACATGCTTAGCATGTACAAGGTCCTGGGTTCAATTCCCAGTACCTCCTCTAAAAAAATTAACTTACTTCCACCTCCAAAATATACCATATATGCAAACTACTATATATAAAATAGATCAACAAGGTCCTATGGTATAGCACAGGGAACTGTATTCACTACCCTGTAACAGCCTATAATGAAAAAATATATGTATAACTGAATCACTTTGCTGTACACTAGAAACTAAACACAGCATTGTAAATCAACTAGACTTCAACAAAAAAATTTTTAAAAGACAGCTATCTAAATAGACTTCTTTACATTGATTTGTAAGAAATGTTAGAGCCCCCTCTTTCCAAAGGAAAGCGATTGTTTCTTTCACCCTGAATATCTGATTTTTCCCATTCATATTTTGCCTTCCCTAGATGAGTCATAATGCAGGCATGGCCAACACAAAGCTAAACCCGAGGTCATAAAGACCCCAAATGTTTATCCTTTGATATGAAATGTTTGTACAGCTTCTCCAGAATCGGAGCTTCTTCCCATGGTACGAATCCCTGGAATTCCTCAGATGCTACAGTTTGGTTGCTAGATTTCCAGTCTCCATTTAACTTCTACTCCTTTCTAGAAAGTTCACAGTATGGTGATACCTTTAATAGGGTCAATTAACTGAGAATCAAGGGGAAAAAAAAAACCCGGACTAATTTAGATACTGACTTTAAGAGAGGCAATAATCTGGATGGCTGTTTGGTTATTATTAGAGTCCTAGAAATGCTTCTACCATGGAGAACTAATGCTTCCAACCAAGTATTTCTCTTAGTAATAAGGTTTATTCTCTTCTTACATAATCAAATGAATTTATTAAATATGTATTATAATAAATTTGATATAAAACTTCATATCTAAAATCAGGCCTAACCTTATTACTTATAAGTTACATTGTAGTCCTATTTTTTTTTTAAAACCACATGGAAAGTTGAGGAATGAAAATAACTGAATTGAGTGCCTTTAACGACGACAAATATATGCTCACGTAATTGGCTATTCTCAAAAGACACACCAGTCCAAAACGAGTACACATTTTTGTTCACTAACATTAAGGATAAAGTATTCCTATTTGGTTAGCGACTTTGACCTTTGTTTTCTTTCAAGCAGGACTTTCTATGAAATATTAACATTAAAAATATTTAACTTCTTTTAAATTGAGATACAGTTTACAATGCTGTGTCAATTTCTGGTGTAAAGCACAATGCTTCAGTCATATGTGGATATACATATATTAATTTCCGTATTTTTCCCCATAAGCTACAAGATATTAAATATAGCTCCCTGTGCTATACAGTATGAACTTGTTTATCTATTTTATATATATTAGTATCTACAAATCTCAAACTCCCAGTTTATCCCTTCCCACCCCCTCCCCCCATAACCATAAATGTTTTCTATGTCTGTGAGTCTGTTCTGTAAAAAAATTCATTTGTTTTAAAATGAATATTCTAAGACAAGCCACTTATATACAGAAACAGGCTAGTCCAGTTTAAGAAAATGTCCTGCTGTACTTCATGGTCCATTAAATAGAGCCTAAGACCACTTAAAAGAGCAAGTTGTCTGGAAAGAGGGTGAAAGGATCTATTTCCCTTAGCACCAACCTGGGCATTTCTGCGCTGTCTCCCTGGTAAGTTCACCTCAGTCCTCCTCAGAAAATGAGGGAATGGGACTAGGGAATTCTTTAAGTCTCTTGCATTTTGGATTTCTTAAACCTTTTTCTGAGCAAGAGGCAGCATCAGGGAGCATATAATGTGTGAGAGGTCCAGAGACAGGCTAGCACTTCTGATTGTCATTTTGTGTCTCTTCCCATCAGAGGCAGTATCTTCCCCTGGTAGGTTTTACTGTTTATTTTATTTTATTAACTGAGCATTTTGTGGGCTCAATATTTCAAAGTCTTCACTGCAAGGAAGTTACCAGGACTCAAGATTAGATTTTAATTCTTGGTGTCACATTGGGATGACTAGAGAGCACTCTGAAATGTCATTCCTAATCTATTACCACTGGTGAATGTAACAGAAAACGCAACCAACCGCCTCTCCCTCGCCTCCCTAGTACTTAAGAACTCTGGTTGTGTGTGGAACGGTGTCGGATATCACTACCCAAACACTTGACTGTTTTAAAAAAAAAAATCACCAATTCCATGACCATGAAGAGAACACTTTCATCTCTGTTCAAAAACCCTCTATGTTCTGATGAGTACGTTTAATATCAATTGTGGTAAGTTGCTTTGTGTAACAAAGCTCACTCAGCTGGCAGGCTGCTCAGGCAGAGGCACGCTGCTAGAGCAGCAGAACCCTCCAGCATGGCCACTCAGAGCTGTGGTGAGTCAAGTTAATGAGTACATGTAGGTTCAAGTTATTCCCCAGGAGAGAAAAGGCTAGGTGCTGATGGATGAGTAGGTGTTTCGAGAATTTCTGCTTAGGCTGCTTTATTTTGGACAGAAAAAAAAAAATGCTCCTTTTACTCTCACGAGAAAACAGGAAAGGAGGACAGGGATGGTCTCCCGGTAAATTACGAGCAGGCAGCTCTTTACTAAAAGCCTTAAAGCTTATATTGGAAAAAGCCTGTGAGAAATGTGGTCAAAGTTTTAAAATTCTTCACTTTTCTGAAGCAATAGAGTCAGGGCTGGGAAAGAACTTTTTAAAATTTTTAATTTTTCCCCCTTAATGGAGGCACTGGGGATTGAACCCAGGACCTCCTGCACGCCAAGCACGTGCTCTACCACTGAGCTCTACCCTGACCCCCAGAATTTTTAGTTAGAAGCATAAAGTGAAAGAAGAAAAAATTTTTCAATGTCCATAGCAGCACTTAGGGAGATGGGGGCTGGCCAGGGCGGGAAGGAGAATGGGCATGTATGTGCAGGAGTTTGTACACAGGAGGGTTTGATTAAACTAATTTGCTTAATCACTAAGGATTCCTGAGAATCCTACAAATTCTAGTTGCATTTATATAAATTTTCCATACATCTTAAATATATGTAAATATCTGTCTTTATATATTGAATATTTATAAAATTATGTTTTCAAATGTGTCCCTTAGTGAGTTATGCTTAGTCACATAATGCAATCACTTTTTCTAGACAAAGCCTAACTGAATAGAAAGTAGAGGCTGTCCTTGACCCCAGCTCAGTGAGCTCAGCCTGTGGAGTGCAGTTTTTTCCCCTTCTGAGCCAGGACCTTCACTGGGGAGAGGCTCACCCTAATTGATGGCCGTGTGACTTGGAAAATACTAACAGCCTTGTGAACAAACGTGGCAGAGGAAAAGCCAGAGTGACCAAGAGCAAAGAGAAGAGACTAGATTTGAGAGGCAAGAGGAAGGAACACAAGAGTGGAGGGTTGTGTGAGCTTGACTGGGTAGGGGAAGAGTTTGCACAGAGAGAAGAGGATTTGTATCAGCTGCTCTAGAGTGTGTTCCGTTACTGAGTGTGGGAGCGATGGGGGAGAGGGTTCTTTGGGCTTTGTATTCTATTCCCATGTGACATTTTCTTCCCCTCCACATATTAAAGATTGGAATTGTCCTCAGATACATTTTTAGAGAGGAATCATATGGTGAGCTGGTTTCATATTCCGGTTGAGAAATGTCTAATTCAGCAGTCGTCCAAGGACTACCCGAGTCGCCGCAATTTAGTCAATTTATGGAACTAATATGTAAGTGAACAAGTGTTTAGAGGGCTCTGCGCTGTGCCAACTTCTATATAGGACACAGAAGTGGCTGAAGACATACTCTAGGTCTTCCTGGAACTTACTATCTGGCTAGACAGATAAAGTATCTTAGCCAATTGGCAATGTAAGAGAGCTTCGTAAGAGCAACGTAAGAGAAAGGGCTTTGAGCTAGGCTAAACAGAGACCTTCAGGGTAAAGTGAAGCTTCCCTTAAGGGAAGGTGAGGTTGGGTGGAGATAAGTGGGATTTCAAGGAGGGCAGTGCTACAGGAGCAGTGGCAGAAGGGAAATGCAGGTGTAACACATATAATGTGGTAATAAGCATGTTTTGAAGGATTTTCTTAATACCCACTCTTCTCAAAGCCCTTTCACGTGAGCTGGCTGTGACCCTGGGGGGCAGGCCAGGTATAATTGTTGG